TATTTTAAATATGGAAATAAAAATGTGAAATGTGTGATGAGAAAATTAGCCTTCAAGTTCATTTGAACTTATGTGAGAAAATAAAATAAAACCTACTATTTTCTCCTCTCTTTAATAAGGTAATAATATAATTATTCACCATTTAAAATACAGCTTTATTAAATAACAAAAAAGTCCCTTATTTTTAAGCATGTCTTAAGCTTTGATCTCCTTTTAAAATAGATTTCTATTAATGAAAGAAATTTTGACGAGAATCAAGCCTAACATTTTTGTACGTAGTATTAACTTTTTGTAAAAATGTAAACTATTTACAAAAAAAAACCTTTTTATGAAAAAAATTTGTTAATTTAAAAAATGGATTTAGATTGAAAATTCCTTTTCTGTTGAGGAGATATCTGAGATAAAAAGTTTTGCCCCCATTTAACCCCTTTAATGGTAATAATTTCCATTTTGACTTTTATACTTACCTTGAGATTGTGATTAAGATTTAGACAATTGTAATTTTGCGTTTTCTTACGAACAAAATGAACCAATAGAAATAATGCGCATATAAAATTAATCTTGAAATAATTTCTTAAATTCTATAAGCAATCATTTCACGCTGATTTCCCCAACCAAGAACAATGTTTTATTTTCATTTTCTCTAGTGTTACATTTAATATCTGAATATGTGATATATCTCCAGAATATAATTTTCTCTGTTCATAAACAAAATCTCAATAGATAATAAAATGAAAAATCTCTGTTCCCGATGATTCGTCTGTTCGCCATCTCTGATCATGCATTTAAATATTGACATGAATTCACATCGAAGCCCGGTTTTATATTTTCGGGTAAGGCATTTCAAAGCAATATTTTTGTGCTTAAAATTATTTTTTAACACTGAGTACATTGTAAAATATAGTTAATTTCTTTAAAATGTCGATTTTAGAATAATATAAATTTTTGAAAAAAAAATCAATACAAATATAATCATTAGTCACATTAAAATCATTGTTGAATTTCAAAAGCTGATGAAACTACATTAAGGCATCGGACTAGTTTCAACAACTTTTTTTAAATATTATAAAAATCTTAAAAAAACTAGTTTATATTTTTTATTATGTGTAAAACTAATAAAACTAGCAAAAATATTTTTAATTAATTTTTTTAAATGGCATTTTCATTTAAAAATAAGGCGTTTGTTTCATGTGTGGTAAGCACTGTAAAAAGATAATTTATCGCCCTAAAGAAAAAAAAAATTCGTTAAGGATTTTATTTAAAAAACTATTAACTATATTTTGAACTATTATCTTAAAAGCAAGTGGATATACTGAGTTAGGGATCAACGTAGTTAAAGAAGCACATTTTTAGAAAATACCTCAGTAGTCTTTGTGAAAAAACCTGTACAAAATATGAAATTTTGCCTTTTCTCTTAGTCTGTAGCTCAAAACATGCTTGCTATTATTATCAATACTCATGAAAAATTGTGGACAATTATTTAAAAAAAAAACACAAAATATCGTGTTTAAGGTGGAGTTAAAATGTGAAAAAACCTTATTTTGAGATAAACGCATTTAAATACTTAGATCACTGGCTTATCCACTGTTATCACCTTGCACAAAAACTGCTATAATGTTATAAATAATAAGAGTGCAAACAAAGTAAAGTACTTTTAAAAAGCTAAAAGTATAGGGATTCTAAATTTATAATAAACTTAATTTCGAAACCTTTATCCAAAACTATGTTTTTGCTTTAGACAGTCCTTCAATACAAATGATAAAGTAAATTTTCTGAGCCTTCCATGAGACTCAATTAAATAACTCATATTTTTCATGCAATGCAATTTGTTTTACATATCTGTATTTTAATGAATTACAAAGAAATTATTCCAATTTAACCCTTATCCCTTTGTGGATGCTTATAAAAAGTAACTTTAAGCTCACATTGTGCAACAAAAAGTCAACCCCTAATGAGCACTTTTAGAATCCTTACCAAAAGTGAAGAAAAAGCTATTCACTTGTCTCAAATGGATGGAAAACACAAAAACGCTATCAAAATCTGACAAACTTTGGATGGTGTATGTTCAGAGCATAAAACCAGTTTTATTGCAGGTTGAAACTTGAAGGTGTTTCAAATAATCGTCCTTAAGACCATCTATGCTTCTCTTCGCAATTAAACAGTTATTATTGGTTAGTACATCAGCTTTATAAAACTGTAATTTTCCTAATTTAAACAGTGTTTTTTTTCTCTCTTGAACATTAGTTTCGGACCTTTAACTTGCATAGTTTATTAGATTCATTTTTGTAAAGGACATTAACATTTTTGATCAAATGAATCATTACGAAACACCCTGCATGAGTAAAATGTTCTCGGATCAATAACAACGAATGAAACTTCACTCAAAACATCAGATATTTTAAAAGGCAAACCAGCTAACTGCCTTTGCATATTAGTTGAATAATAAAATATTTCTAAAAGAGTGTCTAAATTTAAACTGTTAGAAATTTTTCAGAAAAAAATGAGTAAATAACAATTTATTCGATTGGTATTTTATCATATATAAACAAAATAGTCCAATAACCATAAATTAGATGGTAATCAAACTGTTAATTATGAGAAGAACCGTTTATTAACTGAATTTACTTAACACGGTTAAATAACTAGAATTTCATTGCACCAACTAAGCTAACCTAATAAAGCCCATTAGTTCCTTACTAGTGAGTTCATATTATAGCTGAGAGGGCTGATCTGCCAGTCTTGTGACCGACAAAACTGGGGTTCGAGCCCCAGCTTGTACACCAGAATATTTCCTCACATGAAGAGATGTCCTTCACTTTCCAATGCCCAGTTAAAATTCTTTTTGTTGTTTTGAAACACTGCTAGTTGTAAATGGTTAAAACACCGTATAGTTTTGTATTTATGGTTTTATAACCATGCTAGTTTTAAACGGTTTCGAAAACTTAAAGGTAAAAAATGTTCTTTACCGTTAACTTTTCGGTTAATCGGAATGATAGACAGATCATTTTACCATTATTTTAAATCCAACAGTATGAAATCAAGAAACACAACATTTTCCAAGAAACACAAATCAAATAAAATTAGGATTTTAAATTGAGAATATTTGCGTAAAAAATTATACAATTCAATCTCTGAACTTATTTAAGCATATTGGTAAAAAAAAACATTTAAAGAATTTTATTATACCCACAACATTCTCAAAATAATTTAGACTATATCTTGAAAATAATTCTGAAATATATTTTGAAAAAAATTTAAACTGTATAGCTATAAATTTATATTTTACATAAATATATAGTTTTGCAAAATTATATGTATTATTGCGTAGGATACCAAAAAGAATCTTTGAAACGATAAAAAATTATTATTATTATTTATTATAATTATTTGCAATTATTTTTTATAATTATTAATAATTTGTATTATAATAATTTTCTAATGCACTTCAAAAAATGCCTTATAAAATTTCGTTAAAATTTTATGGAACAAAAATTTATGTTTACCATAATTTTTACAGAAAAATATACTGCAATGTTACGGAATCACTGAAATTAAATAAAAGTATCTGCAAAAATTACGGTTTAAATGTTTAGGGTAAAAATGGATTCTAGGGATGCTGCATTCAGGATACCAGTACTTTTTACCACATTTTGATCCCAAATTTTTCACAGTGTGGAAATATCAACATCAACGTATATATTGATGTGAATGTTCATTTAGTTTTTTTTTAAATTTAAGTTACATATTTATTTATGACTTCAATTATAAGCATCTTCATTCCTTGAGTAATTAAAAAAAATATTTTACTATTTGTATAAAAGCAACTGTTCCAATTGCTCTTGTCCAATAATGGGTAGCTAATTGTATAGACCAATATCGTAAATTTAACTTTTCAGTGCTTTTATCAACTAATAAAATATGTAATTAGAAAACTTTTTTCTCATGGAAGTGATAAGAGATAAAAAATACTATAACAAACACCTCTATTTGGTTATAAAATGATCGATGATCAAATAATAATCAAACGTTACACCATTACCTAATTAACAGGTTGAAATAGTTTTTGCATTAGGAAAATATTACTTTCATTGAAAATACAATGGACTTTCTAAAAAAATGCATTTTCACTGTCTCCGACTTTCATTTGCCTCACTATTTTATCAAAAAGCATAAGTTTATCCTTATTGCTACTAAATTTCTTTTAATAATATAACTAACGTTTAAATTAATATTTACAGAATTTTTTTTAGTATCATATAGATGGTGAAAAAAATCCCAATAACAGGACTTAAAAAATATTGTCTATGATTAATCAACTATTCAATATGTATGCAAATGAAGTTTCATAAACAAACTTCTTGCTTGGAAAAACTACGTGATTTATACGTAGAATATTTATAGAAAATGTTTCTACTTATCTTAAAAAAATTTATCTGCTTAGTTAAAAAAAAACTCATTAATAACTTTTAATAATAATATTATCAAAAATAATATTAACAGAAAAATGTTTAGTATCATATAAATGGTGGGGAAAAAATCACAAAAACTAGATTTAAAAGGTATTGTTTGTGATCAACTGATTATTCAATATACATTCAGATTAAGTTATATAAGCATACAAACTACGTGCTTGGAAGTACTACAAGGTCGATACGTAGAATATCTACAAAAAAATTTTTCAGTATCATACAGATCGTGGAAAAATTTAAAAAATAGGATTTAAAAAGTATTATTTGTAATTAGTTAATTACTGAATATACATTCAAATGAAGTTGTCGGTACCCGTAGTAGAGCCACCTTTTTTCATCTAAAGCCACTTTTAACCTTTTCCCCAGATCTTTTTTTAAAGAAGATCTTGACTTATCCCAAGCGTTTCAAAAACCCAATAATAGCATGTAAAAATTCGAATAGCAGCATTTCAAAATTATTGTTTTTAACTATTCAATATACATTTAAATAAAATTATCAAAACTTCGTGGGAGGGAAATACATGCATTTACCTCAGGTGGAGGTTTTTCCAATTGATTTGTTTGGGGTTTTATAGGCTGAGGCTCTTCAGAATTAGCCACGTTAACTGTAGCAGAACCACTTTTTTCCTCCAAAGCCATTTATAATCACTCCCCAGATTGTTTTTTTTCTAAAACTAAACTAACCCGGCAGACGCTCTATAGTTCACTAATGCTATGAAATGCAAATTATCCTCTGATGATTTTAACTGAACACAAATACATTTCCAATTATCCAATGCAAGAAGAAAATACCAGCCAGCAGTCTCAAAACACGCGGTTTCAAGATTCTTGCCTGCGAGCTGCAAGCCATCTGATCCACACTCAAACGGTGGTAGAAAGGTTTGGGTGTGAAGAAGAGGGGGTCGTAGAGCATTCTGGGATGGGAATGCTGATTGGTGGATGTAACAAGTGTGGATGGGGTTAAGGATGGGGTGGAATGAAGGGCTATCTTTCTCTTTTATTTTCAGCTGTGCTACTGTTGCATGCGAGATTGATGTTTCTCATCTTCTTCTTGGAGAAGGATTTTTTTCACCTTTTTCATTTGCCAACAAATAGATAAAAAAAGATTTTGGCAAATTTCTTTTCTTCTAGGGCAATGACTTAAATTGTAAATTGTCTTTTTTTAATAGAATTTTATTCAGTTAGAGGAACATTTTTTTCTTAGAAAGAACATTCAGTTTCGGAAGGTGCCACAATAAAAAAGACGATACCTAATTTTTTTTTCTTTGAAAAAGAAGGTTGTTTTAAACAAAACTTATTCTAACAAATTACTACTTTCCCAGACATTCCCAGACAAATTACTACTTTCTCAGATTCTTTGATTTTTTATTTGGATTTCACCAATTATTTATAATCTGATCATTTATAGTCAAAGTAAAGCTCCTTGTAAATGAATTTTGAAATAACAAGATTTTTGAAAGTTTAATTGCGAACTAACCAATACAAGTACTAACCTTATTATCTTCAACGAAATTTTAATACAGCTACGATCTACCATAGCCTGATTAGCCTACTGGCCTACCATAGCCGCAGATCAACCGCTGAAACAACTTTCACTTCTCTTTTCTGCTCCCTTCATAAGCAGTGCTCATTTTGCACGCTAACAGATATTAGAAAAGTGTTTTTCTTTAAGCAATATTCGCATACATAAATTAAAACTACCGGAAATGTATTTCAATGTTACTCGGGCAGCAACTTTGTTATGTTATTGAAAACAGCAATACGCCTAGTATTAAATGCATTTCTACTAATTGGTTCTACTATATTGGTATTTTCTACTAATGGAATATACAATATAAGTGAATAAAAGTATGTAAGATATACCAATTATTCTCCAATATTCTAATATTTCTCTTTTATGTTCAAACATACCTTTTACAAGTAGAAACAACGTAATACTGTTTGGTTTCCTTTAAAATAGGAATTTAAAAGCTGATGTGTCACATCTGAGTGTTGGAACTGAATTAAAGGAATCAGAATAAAATTAATTGTAATTGTAATTAAAGATAGCATCCATGTTTCAAAATCAAAGTACTATTAAAAAAATAATAAAAGATAATATACTGTAAGTTTTACTACTTTGCTGTTTTAAAGATAGTCAAATAAAAGTAGTTTGTATAACGTAGAATTCGCTTCCGATAAACGATGTTACCGTAATATTACAGTAATTTGAAAGTGTTACAGAATTACTGCTCACTAATTTTATAAGTATAGATATTAGTGCTAAAAGACTGCGTAAAACATGCCTTGGATTGCCTAAATAATTTCCAAAATGACAAATGGTTTATTTCTTTCAACTGAAGTGAACTGAAACATTACCGTTGCAATCGGCACGAAACAATTTGAAGATAATATATATTAAATTCACTTTTTTTAAAAATCATTTTTGGCTATTATTCTGACTAAATCTCTCAAATATATCTAAAACAGTGTGTGAAAACCGGTTTTATTTTAGCGCCGAAGATAAATAGCTTATCTATGCAGAAAAATTTGAGAAAATCAATTCCATTTGAATAACCTTGTAACTTTAACCCAACTCAACGGGCAAAAGTAGTCGATAATATAAATAAATTTGCTTTCGTGGAAGATTTTCCCAAAGATAAATCACTTCTATACCTGTGTTCTTAAATGTAATAGAAAATGCGAAAACATCCATAATTAGCCAGATGGGAAAGGTTTTATTTTAGCACTCAAGATGAAATGCTTATATATGCAGAAATATTAGAGAAAATTAATTCTATTTCGATAATTTTGTAATCTTAACCCAACTCAATCGGCAAAAGTAGTCGATAATATAAATAAATTTGCTTTCGGGGAAGATTTTCCCAAAGATAGCTCATTTCTATACCTGTGTTCTTAAATGTAATAGAAAATGCGAAAACGTCCATAATTATCCAGATGGGAAAGGTTTTATTTTAGCACTCAAGATGAAATGCTTATATATGCAGAAATATTAGAGAAAATTAATTCTATTTGGATAATTTTGTAATCTTAACCCAACTCAACGGGCAAAAGTAGTGGATAATATAAATAAATTTGCTTTCGTGGAAGATTTTCCCAAAGATAGCTCATTTCTATACCTGTGTTCTTAAATGTAATAGAAAATGCGAAAACGTCCATAATTAGCCAGATGGGAAAGGTTTTATTTTAGCACTCAAGATGAAATGCTTATATATGCAGAAATATTAGAGAAAATTAATTCTATTTGGATAATTTTGTAATCTTAACCCAACTCAATCGGCAAAAGTAGTCGATAATATAAATAAATTTGCTTTCGGGGAAGATTTTCCTAAAGATAGCTTATCTCTATACCTGTGTTCTTAAATGTAATAGAGAACTGCGAAAACGTCCATAATTAGCCAGATAGGAATGGAATTCAGACATTATATAACATTGGATACAATTTATTTTAGAACTGTAATTGATTCCGGTAATATATTGTATTTTTTATAGTTCACAACAACAAGTTTTAAAAATGTGGTTCAGGGATGTTTAAATTGCTTTCTAACCGATTTCTAAAAACAGGTGCATGTAGCAAAAAATAATTGCCCAGAATTCCCTAATTAAACTGTATTGGTAAACTATTGTAACTTCTACTACCTGCACCTTGAAGTATTGTGTTGCAAATTCAAAACAATTGTGTTATTTCTTTGGTGAACAGTTTTAAATTTCGCTCTTTTAAAAAATGCTATTTTCATTTGTGGAAGCTTACAGTAATGAGCCTTGTAGGAGTATACTATAGTCCTCCAAAAGTTCACCCGAAAAGGAAATTGCACTCGACAAAAATATTAATCCAGATAGTTTAAAGTTTTCTTTTTACAAAATTTATCAAAAAGTTTTAGTTATCTAGATTCATCATATCCTTTAAAATAGATTGCGCTACCCTCTATTTACGCTTTAATTTCATGTGTTGTAATCTGACTACTTAATTACGAAAACATTTTTAAAGCAATTTTTCAAGTTATTTTTAAGTACATGATATCTTTCTCTCTTTTTGCTTTATATATTCCTATTTGGGTTTTACTTAGATGTTTTTTATTAATTTTTTATGATATTTTTACTTCATAAAATTATATATACGAATCAGGTCCTCTCACTATTGTATTGATATATCCTGCTTTGGCTATATGAATACAAAATAAGAAAGAGAAATATATATAGCAACAAGAATGCGATATTTGGGCATATCTTAATGAAGAAGGTATTCGGAAGAATGTGTAAAACGTGAAGTTGAAGAGCTAGATGGGAAAAGCCCATAAAAGACAGCCTACTTTAAATTACTAATTACAAAAGGAAAGCAACCAACAACAAAAAATATTCCAAAATCTGGTAGCCTATGTAATGGCTGTAGTGTCGGCAAGATAAGGACCATATTAATTTTTTTGTACTCTATAAATTTAAAAGAAATTAAATCATTTAAATGAAGCAGAAAATATATTTCCCATTATGAAGCATATGTATTTCACATAAAATATAAAATAAATTTATTTTTCTGGGTGAAAAAATGTTTTTTCTACTATTTCTGTTCCTTTTTTAATTATACTCTTTTCTGTAGTTATAAATTTAACTTATAACCTTTATTAAGGTTATAAAATACTAGCAAACAAATTATTTTCATTAAGAACAAAATAAAATTATTACTAAAAATAAACTTCCATAAGGAAGTGCAAAAGTGTCAAATTCTCGAGAATATCTTTCCGATTCAATAAATTTATCCGATAATGTTGAGGTAAGCGAAGATAGCTCCTTTGAGATACTAATATTTTATTTACATTTATATACAAGTTGGTTTGAATTACAAGAACATCATCACGGCAAGTGATGGGAGAAATTACTGACAGGCTGTCATGTGCGTGCTGGTATTTATACAATTCAAATATGATGACGTCAGAACTCTTATTTCAGTTCACTTCAAAAATAAGTAAAAACACAATTGATTAAAGACAAACAGATAACAATATGAAATAAACTTGATTTTACGATGAGCGACGAACCTATCACCACAATGTCCATGTTTATCGAATTAATGTCATCTTTCCGCTAACAACTTGTGTCTGCTATCGACAAAACCGTCAAAAATAAGCCAAGAAAATGATATTCATGCATAAGGATAGCAGCTGTTTAAAAGAAGGCATATCAATACGGGTGATTATCTGTAAAGTGTTATAATAATGAACTAAATATAACAGATAATATATGAACTAAATATATGAAGTAACTGAAAATAAATTAAATTCTGATTCATATCGGATATTGAAATTTAAATTCAGTAACTGTGCTTCAGTAAAGTTGACTGATTTTAACTTATCTCTTTTTTTCTTAAAACAAAATTATATATATATCAGTTTAATGACCTTATTCTTCTTATTTACGGGAAGCCTAAAAGCCTTCTATGCAGTACAGCAGATAAATAATTCATAAAAATTCCTAAATGTACTATTAAGATTATAATTTACTAATGCCCGATAGCTATGATAGGTAGGTAGGTATAGTTTGTCTAAAATAAGAACTCCTCCAGACATTCGTCTGGGCCTGTGGCGGTGACTATGGTTACGAGGTATGACTATTTCAAGTAGGGGTGAGGAGTCAATGTTTTGGAGTGGTTTCGGCTCAGGCCGGCGGGAGAAAGGGAATCTCTTTTTTCGGTGCATTGTGTTAGTCCTAGAGTTTAGCTGCCCTCACTAAAATTCGCCATTCTTGTTTCCATAGCACCAGACGGCCTCAGACTTTGTGGAGGGAGGAGTTCTTAGCTTAGACAAAGGTACTGTATTTACGTCGCATTTATTATTATAGGTATTGTATTTACGTCGCACTAGAGCTGCGTAATGGGCTATTGGCGACAGTCTGGGAAATATCTCTAAGGATGAGTCGCAGACATGCCCTTCGCAATTTTGGTCTTCAGCTGAGGAGATGGCTCCACTGATTTGGTAGCCCGACGACCTGCGAGCGAAGCCGAGCACTTTACGGTAGAACAGTTTAACGAGGACCAATACCATGCACCCTCGGTCTCTACTAAGACTGGTCAAAGTGGTCACCCACCCGCT